GGCCTGTATAAACAAAAGCTCAAGAAGGGTAAGGGAACCAAGAGTTGGAAGTCACTCATGCTCTGAACCCGCATGCTCTTCATAGAACACGAAAAACTTCTTCCCAAACATCTTCATCTGAGGTGGGCAGTCTTCCCGAAGAGCTCCTATCTGATGGCCACTGTACATTGGTCAGGCGCTCGGTCTTTTGGATGCCAGCCACAAATGCCATAGTTCGGTCCTGCCCATGGGCCCATGTTTCGAGGTCATAGCCTTCATCAAAGCCATGGGTGAGGATCATCGCGTAGACCTCATCTTGGCGGTCAACACTCATCCGCAGAACGAAGATGTCTGGCTCCAGTTGCGAGAGTGCCTCAAACAAAACATCTCGGGGTACTGCTGTGACCACACAGCCTGTTAGGTCAGCAACATAGCACTTGAAGCCAAACCTGGGAGGAGGCAACTCACATCGGAGTTTCCAGTGAACCACCCTGCCGCATGTGGAATTCCTGCAATTCGGATGCAGCATTTGAAATCCAGGCGAGTCCACTTCAGAGGAGAACAAGTGGACCATGTCAGGCTTCACACGACGCATGGCAGAGGCAGGAAGATCCAGCCCTGAAAAGTCCGACATGTACCAAATGGTCCTCTCCTCAACTCGCCGAACTTTGTTGCGGCTGCCCTCCATTGCAGCACTGCTGTTTGTTGGATGCATTCCACTTTTCAGAAATTTACAGTGCAATTTCAGTGCAATTTACTATATTTATGATGTGTATAGCGCCGGACAACTACTTAGAACATCGTTTTGGAAATTTTTCGGTGGGTACGCGCGCTCTACTTAGAACATTTTCGGCGAATAGGGGGACGTATGTTCTAAGTGACTTAGAACATATGAGGATCCTCTACTTAGAACATGCCATCATATATACATGTAAATATATGTATATGTATACATACATACAACTTAACATTGCATATTTATATTATATATACAGGTGGTGTGATGTTGCGTTAAGATACATGGAGATGTCTATATTGACCGATTGAGCGGTTGGAATGGTCCAAAGCCTACAGCGGGACGAGATTCGAGATAAATAGGTACATATATTGAGCTGAACAAAATGAGCGAATGGATCCGGATGCTCTAGGTGAGAGGCTACAATTCGAACATCAGGTTTGGAATGTTTTTATTATATGAATATATAGTGCCGGACAACTACAATATTAAACATATATTATATATACACAGGATTTTCCAAAAATGCACGTAGATAGCTGGGGAGATTCTTACTTAGAACATGGGGGAACCCCCAAAACCTCTACTTAGAACATCCCGTGAACATATATGTTCTAAGTAGTGGTCCAGGATCTCTACTTAGAACATGTTTTGGAATTCCAAAACCAATGTTCTAAGTATATGTCCGGCACTATAATGATATTTATGGTGCTTATGACTTCTGTTCCATTGTGGACACACCTGGGATAGGTACTTGTGCAGCACCATGGGCTTGGGCAAGAAAGCCAAACACGCAGCTATGCAACTATTTGCACAGGATGTTCCACACTGTTTGTCAGCAGTGTTCCACAGGATGTCCCCATGTGAAGTTGCATGTCGGCAAAGTTCATGTGAAGTTGGTTTTCAGGAATAAAAAACGCTTTGCCTCATCAGAAGGTACATGGTGCTGCGCAAGTACCAGGCATAACCTCACTTTGTGGTTTTGGTGCTGGAGAAGTACCATTGGACATCCTTGCACAGAATGAGAAACCAAAAAAAACTGGCATCCACATCATTATATTCAAGAAACAGGGCCAGTACTTGTGCAGCACCCGGCAGGAAAAAATAAGGTACTTGTGCAGCACCCAAAGAAGCTTCGAAGCTGCTACTCTCTGATATGGCACTAGAGAAACATCTGGCATTTCCGCAGTGCCAAGACTTCACCTTTTTCTTTGCTCTTTCGAAGCTCTAAGTCTCCTAATCGGAATCCATCTAAGGGACAGCTGTTGCCTGCTGCTATCCCATCCCCTACTAAATGGGGAGCGATTTGGAGCACCACACCCTCACTGATGATTCTCAGCCGATGCGACTTTCTGCTTGAGATCCTCAATCTCTTTGGTCAGGGCAGCCTCCTTCTCCTTTAGCTCCTGTTTCTCATTTTCGAGCTCTGCCTGCACTTCACGTTCTGACAGGATGTCTTGCTCCACCTTTTCCAGGTTCTCTGTCACCTCAGCTTCAGCCTTCAGCTGACCCTCGGTTCGGCGGTCTCGCCAGGCATAGCGTTTGTCCTCCATGGCTGCACGGCTGTTGGATATGTAATGTGTTATGAAATGATATGAAATGATATGAAATGATATGAAATGATTCCAAAAGTACAAAATCAGCATGTTTTCCCTGCGACATTTCCACCTGTAACCAGCCACATGTATTGCATTAACATGCGCTTTCTTGTTTGTATCCTTAGCAATCTTCAGTGTGAATTGGAGCGTGGCTTTTCGAATGTTGAGTTTTGCATGGCCTATCTCACCAGCTTGCTTGAGACAAAACACTGAGCATGGCATCTCTGATTTATGTTATCAAAGGTACTTGTACAGCACCATGGCAATCACACTTTGCTGAGTACTGAATCACTGAGACAGCTTCTTAACTTGAGGCCCCTGCGCATCACATTCAATGATGGCCTCATGAGACATCACAACAGAAACATGTAAAAAAAATGAAAATTATAGGTCGGTCTCCATGAAATCACATTAGTATATATATATATAAGCAACAAAGCCGGTACTTGTGCAGCACCCGGCAGGAAAAAATAAGGTACTTGTGCAGCACCCAGAGAAGTTTTGAAGCTGCTACTCTCTGATATGGCACCAGAACATCTGGCATTTCCGCAGTGCCAATTCTGCTTCACCTTTTTCTTCCTCCCGTGCCCGTCTGTGCTGGGCAGTCAGTGTCTTTGCTCTTTCGAAGCTCTAAGACTCTAAGTCTCCTTATCGAAATCCCTCTATTAGGGATAGCTGACAGTGCCTGAGCGCCTGTCTGGCTGTGCTGGGCTCTAAATCCCTCTATTAGGGACCGAAGATTGCCATGCCACTCAGTCGCTGCATCAGCTCTTGCCTGCTGCTTTCCAGACCCACAGTATCTGTATCCAAATCCCCTACGAAATGGGGAGCGATTTGGAGCTATGATCGGAGTTTCCCAAGCAAATGGTAGATATTACACATGGTTATTTGATATCACAAAAAATGATTGTATAAAGGTTTCATGATTGATTTATGTTGATTTTATAGATGCTTAATGATGCCACGCCCACATCTTGCCACATGATGGGATATATATATATATACATACATACATACATATATCATATGTATAGTTGATTATATTTATATATACTTTATTATATTTTCAAAAAAAAACATATTTACAATAGACATGATATTCATAACAGGTCATACATATATGATCTGTTTAAAGTTGTTGATGTGCATATGCGTGTCAAAGTGTGTCACACATTACACAGGCCTGGCTGACTACTTCTTGGCCACCTTCGGTGCCTTTTTGGGCGCCACGCCCTCGCTGGAGCCTGCAGCACACACAGATGAAAGATTGAATTCATATTTGTCAGACCCAGCCTTCTCTTTTCACACCAGCTGCATGGGCAGAGGGCCCTGACATCTGCTTGCTCTCGGCCACACCAGGTCCTATCATGGTCCCCGGCACAAGCAAACACGTCATCTGAAATAAAGTCGGTACTTGTTCAGCACCCTCCAAAAAAGCATTGTTCACTTGGCATTCTGCCCAGCCTTCAGAGGAACTTTCAGAAGAGCTCGAGGAACCACTGGAGTCACTGCGGCTACTTTCGAGGTGCTGCAGCTTTTGCATGAGTGTGGCCTTCTTCAGTTCGAGCTGCTCGACCCTGTCTCGCAGTGCCTCCACCTCCTCCTTCTTCACCAGTGTCTCCTCACGGAGAGCCATCAACTCCTGGTTCTTCCTCTCGATCCTCTTAGCACCTTCTCGCTGAACTTGAGCCGGGGTGCGCCGATGCCCGCGCTTGTCCGGCATCCCTTTGTGCGTCCACCCAAGCCAAGCGCCCACCCTTTGTGCGTCTCCTGAACGTCAGCCGGTGCTGATGTCCACCCACAAGTATTCTTCTCGCCGGTTGGTCTGGTGATGCTAATGAAACACAAGGGCGAGGTGCAAAGCCATGGTCTTCGAAACATTGGGCCAAAAAATCGCAGAGTGTGTACAGTAATCACAGAGCCTGTGAAATGGCACACTTCCAACTAGAGTCACACAATTTCAGTCAGGGAATTTCATTCAGCACCAAAACAGACCGAAAGGTACTTGCACAGCACCTTGATTTCATGTAAGGCACAGTCCATGAAGGCTCAAGCACATCTACCTGTAATAGCACCCAACATAGCACCCAAAATAGCTCAGGAATCGACCGGATTGAGTTCAGGAATCGACCGGATCATCACCGTGATCAACCTTGGAACAGATGACACTGTCACTAGGGGTGGGTTTTCGAATGTTGAGTTTTGCATGGCCTATCTCACCAGCTTGCTTGAGACAATACACTGAGATACACTGAGCATGGCATCTCTGATTTATGTTATCAAAGGTACTTGTACAGCACCATGGCAATCACACTTTGCTGAGTACTGAATCACTGAGACAGCTTCTTAACTTGAGGCCCCTGCGCATCACATTCAATGATGGCCTCATGAGGCATCACAACAGAAACATGTAAAAAAATTGAAAAATATAGGTCGGTCTCCATGAAATCACATTAGTATATATATATATAAGCAACAAAGCCGGTACTTGTGCAGCACCCGGCAGGAAAAAATAAGGTACTTGTGCAGCACCCAAAGAAGCTTCGAAGCTGCTACTCTCTGATATGGCACTAGAGAAACATCTGGCATTTCAGCAGCGCCAAGACAGGATCGCAACCAGCACAAGGCTGCCATCTTTTTCACCAGGTAGGCCATGGCTGCAGCTGTGCTGTCACATTTGCAATTCTTTAATGCACCTTCCCACAAGCAATCAGAACCATCTTGATCACTCGCGCCAGCAGTGGTACCGGCACAGCATTTCCAGCTGCTCGGCGTAGCTGGCGTTCTGACATATGGTGCCAGTAATCACCAACCCTTTCGAGACTGATGCCTTGAAGGCTGAGAATCTCGCGGGTTGTCATCTTACGCTCAAGCCAGGAGAGCCAATGGCCTGAAGAGCCAGCTCGGGTCACTGTCAAGCATGGACTTACACCCCACATAGCGTGAGGCACGCTGCCCGAAATGTCACAAACATACTCCTCGTGTCCGAGAATCCAGCCCTGTTTTGCGACATTGGCAGCAAGCTTCTGCACATTATTCTTCTCCGTGTTGTTCAGGGAATCCATGCCCAGCTCTTCTTGATGCTGGATGTTTTCCTTAAAGTAGTTTCGTAAAGGAAGCATGGCCACATCCCCTGGCCAGACAAACGGCCTAAGCAATGAAGCTTTGCGAACCCCGCAGATGAAAATGCGCTCCCGATGTTGCGGCAGCCAACCAACCGCAGAATTCTCCAGCACTTTCCATTCCACGTGGTATATATTCATGACGGTCAGGATGCTAATAATCATGTCCAAAGTCTCTTTGTGTTGTTGAGCAAAATTGCCCACATTCTCCAAAATGAAGCACAAGGGCTTGTGAAGCCACAGCCACCGCAGGATCCAGAAAATCACATGACCGCGTGGGTCCAGGATGCCATGGTTGTTTCCTGCTTTGCTGAAAGGCTGGCACGGAAAACCTGCTACAAATAAGTCACAGCTTGGAGAAGCTAAGAATTCCTCTGTGCAGCAATCTGAAAAGACATTGCAATGGCCATGCATTGCATGGTTCAAATTCAGCAACTTGTGATCGATTTCACACGCCACGCAACTCACAAACGATACCCTTAACATCTCCAAGGCCAGAAGTTCTGCGCTCAAGCCACTGCAGCAGCTGCCAACACGGAGTCCACTACTGTCAGTGTGCCTGGAGCAGCTGGAGCACCATGAAGATCTTGACGAGGCAGGCGCCATGATCCACTGAAGCAACATCACCATCACATCTTTTCTGACTCTTTCTTGGCTCTTTCCGGACTCTTTCCGGATTGTTTTTTGAACGCCCGGCATCAAGTCACAGCGGTGGCCGATTCTAAACACACACCATAAACTTGCAGCTATCTGCAGTGTGATATGTGATGCGTGTGATGTGATATGGTGATTCAGGCACTGCAACTTCTGATATGAGAAGCCAAATCTATTGCGCTAACATGTATTTTCTTGTTTGTATCCTTAGCAATCTCAGGAGGGCTTATCCGGTGTGAATTGGACCTTGGTTTTTCGAATGTTGAGTTTTGCATGGCCTATCTCACCAGCTTGCTTGAGACAACACACTGAGCGTGGCATTTCTGATATATGTCATCAAAGGTACTTGCACAGCACCATGTCAATCACACTTTGCTGAGTACTGAATCACTGAGACAGCTTCTTAAATTGAGGCCCCTGCGGCCCCTGCGCATCACATCGATCGCCTGGCATCACAACAGCAAAGACCAAATGGCACAGCAGCTGAAACATGGCTCAGTGACCCGGAATCCACATCTTTTATTCAAGAAACAAGGCCGGTGCTTGTGCAGCACCCGGCAGGAACAAAAAAAAGGTACTTGTGCAGCACCCAAAGAAGCTTCGAAGCTGCTACTCTCTGATACGGCACTAGTCACTAGAGAAACATCTGGCATTTTCCGCAGTGCCAATTCTGCTTCACCTTTTTCTTCCTCCCGTGCCCGTCTGTGCTGGGCAGTGTCTTTGCTCTTTCGAAGCTCTAAGTCTCTTAATCGGAATCCCTCTATTAGGGATAGCTGACAGTGCCTGAGCGCTGGCCTTGCTGCCCGATTCCGAAACAGAACAAACACTATACATTAATAGGTCATTTTGTTTTTCATTTTTCAATATGCACATCAATGAAATGAAATTGAAATGAACTTTCCTCCAGGGACATGGCTGCAGCTGGGTCGTCACTCATTTCATAAAGGTTCAAATTTTGAGCGTGGGCTGCCCGATTCCAATATCAATGCAACAAGTTGGCAACAACTGATTTGGGATTTTGCTATTGGTAGGGACATGTCATGTCTGCAGTTTGTAGCCCAATCGGCTCTCGCTGGATTTCCAGCAGAGCTTTCCCTCAAAATGGTTCAAGCGCGCTCAGGGTATCAGATCATCTTCACTGATTGCCAAGGGAAGCCAATGCCTGCATGATCGAAGCCTCCGTATTGCCCTTGCCGCCCTTGCCGCCCTTGCTGCCCTTGCCAGGCTTTCCTCCTCCTTTGGTTCCTTGGCCAGGCTCTTCTGGTTCTGGGTCCTCACCGTCTCCTTTGCCGTCTCCCTTTTTGGTTCCCTTTTTGCCTCCCTTTTTGCCTTTGCCTCCTTTGGCTCCTTTGACTCCTTGAGTGCCCTGGGCATCCACCAGCTTGTGCAGATTGACATCATACAGCTCAGACTCAGGAGTAAGGAACTCCTTCCAGCAAGCACGGACCACTTCAGCTTCCAGCACCTCGCAAGCATACTCAGAGAGGCTTGAGCCTATATATGGAACTTTCGATTTCAAGCATGCCAAAGCGAAGTTCACATCCATGCAGGTGCTATCATAGACACCACCCAGCTCGAAGGAGTGGATCATTTCAATGTAGAATGCGGTCGGAAGGGAGTAGAAGCTGGCAGGCAACATGTCCTCGATGTCTCCAGGAAGAGAACCTTGACCTTGACAAGGACCTCCTGCCAGCACCTTCCCGTTTTCCCCCAGCATCTTCTCCTTGCATTCCTTGCTCACCAGGAATCCGCCACGGAAGGGAGACACAACCACCGGTCCAATCAAGGAACCATGTGTGGAGCCTACATAGGTCTTTCTCTCCCGGTCTGTCAAAGCCAAGCCCTCTTTGCTGTAGACATGCAGCCCTTCCACCTGGGACACCATGCCACGGGTAAGGCATTTTCTGGTTCTGAGAGCCTTTTCGTCATATGCCACCTGAAAGGTATTGCGGGATTTCATCATCACGTCACCACTGGGCAGCACCAAATCCTTGGAGAATTGGGCTTCCAAAGAACGAAACCCATCCATGCACATCACCAATGTCTCCTCAGTGATCTCTGTCTCACCACGGGCCTGGAAAGCTGCATGAACATGCTTCTTGAACGTTGCCTTCTGGTATGGAGGACAGCGGCAGTGTGGCTGTGCAGATGATTCACCTTGAGTTTTGGTGTCATACCACACGCACCAATATTTCCCACGCACGGGAAACTTCTGCAGCACAGTGCCTTCCAGCAACTGTTGTGTCTTCAGAACCGACTGCTCAAATGGCCTGAACGTGATGAAGCGCCCAGCATACTCTTTCACTGCTCGCAGGTGTTCTTGAAGTTCTTTGGCGTTCTCCTCATCCTCTAGGAGCTCACTGTCCACCAAGCTTTCCAAAGAAACCTTCGTCTCTGGATCCTCGTCATCATCAGCAGCCAACACAGATTCCTTCACTTTGCCTGGGCTGATCTCTGCCTCTAGCTTGAGCAAGATTTCGGAAACAAGGTCAGCAACTTTTTGGGACAGCATGACGTCCTCAATGTTGGTGCCTCCTTTCAAAATTGTTTTGAAATGCGGGTCCAGCGTCTTGCCAAACACTGCAACCTTCAGGAACTGCACCACTAAGATTTCTGCATCTGTGTACCCGCCCTGCCATTACAAGTCAACTTCCTTGCCTTCACTTCCGCAGAAGGATCTGAAGATGTTGTGGTTGGTCAAGTTCAACTTCACCATGTCTTTGAATGATTCTCTTGGAAACTTGCACAGGACGTTGGTCACAAAGTATTCCATGACTTCCTTCTTCGTGAGAAACAATTGGATGTATCCAACAGATCCTGAAGCACCTTTGAGCTGTCGGAAGGTAAAGTTTGTGGGCCCAAACTCATCCGGCATGTGGTGCAGGTAGTCCACCATGCTCTTCATGATCCACAACATATTCTCAGCGGTCTTGCCCTTCATGGTGATCTGCTCCAAAGAACTCAACTGGTTGAAGGGCGACGCTTTGCCATGGAGCTTGGCATCCTGCAAAGCAGTTCAAGACTGTTCAAGACATTGCTTGACCTATCCATTGGCAAAAGGGTACTTCTACAGCACCCATGAAAGAAAAGGGTACTTCTACAGCACCCATGGATAGGACATGATATACAATGATATATATATATATACAACAATATTATGAGCTGCAAATTTCTGGTGGTTGATGATTGTTGGGCTGGTTTCGTGGGATTTTACATGTTTGACACATCAACATATGGGAATGATAGGGCCTAACAATCATACATTTTACATGTTAAATAAGCTTACAATGGCAAACAAAATATTTCTACAGCACCCATGGCAGAAAAGGGTACTTCTACAGCACCCATGGCAGAACACGGCGGCCAACAATCCTCCATTATGATGTCCAAACTCTCTGGCGCAGCAGTGAACAGCCTGTGGTACACCTTCATCGCGGTATCCACGAAATTTTCAGTCACACGATCACTGAACTTGGAATCAGTCTGGATCACGTGCTCCTTCCACGCAGAAGCGAGCTCTTTGTTGGAGAGATCCCTGTTGGCCGTGGTCTTGATCAGTGATCTGTAGCCGACAAGTTCATACACTCGCTGTGTGACATCGCGGGCGAGGGACTCAAAGTCTGAGACCACCATCTCGCGGAGGTTCACAGCACGCCAGTAGGCCTCCTCTGCAGTTCCCAAGGTTTCGAAGATGAAGGTGCAGCAAAGGCACAGCTTCCGCCACCCTTGCAGCTCATCCTCGTCTGCCTCTCCAAGACGCTCATGGATCCGAAGCACCAGTGCATGGACGAGCTCTGGTGGGCTCACAAACTCGAGTGCCCCGAACCTCCTCATGATGGATTCTCCTGTGGCCTGATCAGGAGCTCGTACCACAAACTGGTCAAGCAATGTCTGTGGAGTTGCAAATTTCGTCTCCATAATCACATTGATGGAACGCTCGCTGATGGGAACACCTGGCTGCGAAAGATGAGTGAGCTTCAGCCAGAAAAGGTTTGCAGAGCAGTCATACTTGCCGCTGGAGCTCAATGTTGTAGTTGCATGCTTCGCACTGAAGGACACCTGTCCACACAAAATGCTCTTACGCTCTCTAACCGGACCCCACCTTCAAATGCTGTCAGGACATCGAAGCCAGTAGTGAAATTTACCCAGAGCAGGCATCAGTCGGGGACGTCCCCGACTGCTGAGGGGATAGGGTAGGATATGCTTCTAAGCCAGTTGAGAGGATGGGGTTTGCTTACCTATGAGCCTCACCCTGCGTGACATATGTTGGCACCCTATGCCCTCAGCAGTCGGGGACGTCCCCGACTGATGGGTGAAGGAGGTTAAAAACACATCTTTGCTCGAGTTAAGGATTGAAAACGTTATCCCTCTGGGCCTTGTGATTGCCCTCTTCCATCTTCAATGGTGAAGCAGAAAGCATGTCTGCAAAGATTGGGTGCTGAAGGATCTCATCTCTGGCTTTGGTCACAGCAGTAATTCGTTGCAGATTGACCGAGTGGATCAACTCCGTGGGCTCAAACTTCACGGCCACAGGCTGGAACAATTTGGCCTGCTTCGATGCGGATGCCGGTGCCGACTCTGGGGATCTCTTCCTCGAAGCCATGATGACCAATCGAGGATCGTAGAGGGCCAACGAATGCAAGTCCAATAAATGCTGAAAGCGGCTGCGTTTGGAATGTTCACATTTCGACAACAACAGAAAAAGTCCGTTATTAAATGTGAAGTCTGTAGGTGCACAGTAGAAATGCATCACATACGACAGTAGTACCCGGGCACTGTCCAGACAAAAAGTTCCTTCCACACAAATGTCCCTTGCCTTCACATTGTTTAGTGCAACACGGTGTCCCAACCTCAACAGGGAAGCACCAAGGCTTTGCTCTCTCGGCTCGGGCTTGGTGCTGACTGCATGTCTATATGTTTAGCCTTATTATGTCAAGGTTGTGGGGAGAAAAGCAAGAAAACTTTCGAGATGGTCAGAAAAAAAATCTGCATCTTGTCATTAGGGTACTTGTGCAGCACCCAAAAAGGCTTGATAATACAATACAATGCAATACAATACAATACAGTACAATAGAATATAATATAATATCGATAATATAATATAATATAATATAACATAATATAATTTAATATAACATAATATAGTACAAAATCACAAAATACAGTAAACAATAATATAATACAAAAAATATAATATAACATAACATAATATGAGGCCTTGGTGAGACCTTGAGAAATCTCATTTTTTAAAAATATTTAGACATATTTTGACAAAAAACAAAATATAAAAAAATTAAATGTCACATCGATACATTGAAAATGAACCACTGAATGTCTTAAACCTGATTGTGGACAGAACTTATGGATAGAAATCTCATTTAAAAAAAATGAAAAAATGAAAAAATGAATTTCATTTCAATGCCTTGAAAATGAACCACTGAATGTCTTAAACCTGATTGTGGACAGAACTTATGGATAGAAATCTCATTTTAAAAAAATATTTTGAAAAAAAACAAAATTGAAAAAAAAAGTCTCCCGGTTGGACCACCCCGTTTTTCAGGCCATCTGCCCGGAAATGGGGAGACACAACAGGGAGAAAGTGATGCAAAATGAAAAATGTCACTTTTATAAATTTTAAAAAATTATTTCTATCCATAAATTATGTCCACAATCAGGTTTAAAACATTCAGTGGTTCGTTTTCAAGGCATTGAAATTCATTTTTTTTTCAATTTTGTTTTTTTTCAAAATATTTTTTTAAAATGAGATTTCTATCCATAAGTTCTGTCCACAATCAGGTTTAAGACATTCAGTGGTTCATTTTCAAGGTATCGATGTGACATTTAAAATATTTTGGCTAGGTGAGGGTCTCAAAAGTGATAAGCTACATGGATTCTGGTACTTTTTCAGCACCAACAGGGTTCATGGTACTTGTGCAGCACCAACAGCTACCTAAAACTCAGGGACTACATGGCGGATGAGGAAGGGTCCGCACGGATGCTGGTACTTTTTCAGCACCAGCAATGTTCGTGGTACTTGTTCAGCACCAACAAACACAATGTTCACATGTTCAGCAATGTTTTTTGTGGGTGTTGAACATATAATAGATAGAACATCCATATGCAGCCAGTGCTGAGGCCACCGGTCCATGAATGTTGACGAGCTTTCAATGCATAGACCTCACGAAAAGGCAACTTCAAAGGACCCATGCACTCTCACAGTCCCGACTATGTGGCATCACATGATTTTTTTTTACATTGAACATGATCCATTCCTCCCTGTCAGCTCATCCATTCCTTTTTTATCTCTGTCAAAGGCCTTGCTGCATGGTTTTGCATCTGGCCATTCCGGGTCCACGATTGTGGAAATGATGAGCAGGTGTCCATCTACCTGCCATTCCACTACCTGCCATTCGGCAGGTGGCCATAGGTGACTTCTATGGCAAAAGGCCTTGCTGGCCATTCCGGGTCCACATTTGTGGAAAATGATCAGCACGGAGAGCTAGTACTCCTCCAGCCAATTGAGAGCCGACGACCCTCCAGCTCCTGGGAGAACAGCTCCTCCTTGCTCCTCCAGCCAATTGAGAGCAGACGACCCTCCAGCTCCTCCAGCTCCGCCGATTTCTCCTGGGAGAACAGCTCCTCCGTCTCTGCCATTTTCTCCTGGGAGAACAGCTCCTGGGGGCGGGTCCAAGGTCTCAGGGATCGTCCCATGGGCAAGATGGCCAGGTGCTTCTGCATCTGGCAGCCGCGGGATGTTCTCGTCCATGACCATGACCCAGTCCATCTCTCTGACCAGGACCCACTCATTCTCATCCTCCAGGCTCGTTGCCATGTTGATCTCGAACATGCCCTTCAACGTCAGAGTTCGACGGCCAATTGTGTCTGTTAAGCCTAAGTTTTGATGCGCTGGACAATGAGAATTTCACAGACAATGGGCGAAACAGTACATGTTACAAGAAGCTGAACTCAAAACAAACCTGAAAGCTTCACTGCCCACCCTAAGTGCAAGGTGAAACAGCACATGTTACAAGAAGCTGAACTCAAAACAAACCTGAAAGCTTCACTGCCCACCCTAAGTGCAAGAAACTTTGGCCATTTCCAATGAACATGTGATCTCGCCAGTACGGGCGGTATCCCGTGCAGTGGAAGCCTTGTAGGAACAGACTGACACGATTGCCATTGGCATTGTCTTCCTCAAACTGTTGAATTCGATACGAGCCATGCGCAGGAGACCATGCCAAGCGCCCACCCTTTGTGCGTCTCCTGAACATCAGCTTGCCGGTGCTGATGTCCACCAGCAAGTACTCCTCTCGCCGGTTCGTCTGGTGATGCCGCCAGTGGAACACAAGGGCGAGGTGCAACGCCATGGTCTCCGAGACTGTGGGCCAAAAAAATCTCAGAGTGTGTACAGTAATCTCAGAACCGAAAGGTACTTGCACAGCACCTTGATTTCATGTAAGGCACAGTCCATGAAGGCTCAAGCACATCTACCTGTAATAGCCCCCAACATAGCACCCAAAATAGCTCAGGAATCGACCGGATTGAGTTCAGGAATCGACCGGATCATCACCGTGATCAACCTTGGAACAGATGACACTGTCACTAGGGGTGGGTTTTCGAATGTTGAGTTTTGCATGGCCTATCTCACCAGCTTGCTTAAGACAATACACTGAGATACACTGAGCATGGCATCTCTGATATATGTCATCAAAGGTACTTGTACAGCACCGTGGCAATCACACTTTGCTGAGTACTGAATCACTGAGACAGCTTCTTAACTTGAGGCCCCTGCGCATCACATTCAATGATGGCCTCATTAGGCAGCACAACAGAAACATGTAAAAAGATTCAAAAAATATAGGTCGGTCTCCCTGAAATCACATTAGTATATATATATAAGCAACAAAGCCGGTACTTGTGCAGCACCCGGCAGGAAAAAATAAGGTACTTGTGCAGCACCCAGAGAAGTTTTGAAGCTGCTACTCTCTGATATGGCACTAGAGAAACATCTGGCACTTCTGCAGCGCCCAGGACACCACGCGGCAATCTTTTGTCACTCTGCGTTCCCCTACAGATGTCCCAATGTGCAAGCACTCAGTTCACATACCACAAATACCTCTTTGGGTACAAGACACCCGGGCTGTTGACTTCAGGAATTGCTCTTTGGATAGCACATTTTTGCGGTTCAAGTGACTAGCTACAGTTTCAGTAGTCAACGCCAGGATTTCCATGTCTCGCCTCTGTTTGACAGGTAAATGCTCACCAGCAACCTTGTCAGTGGCCGAAGCGAACTCTGCCCAAGTTGAAAGCAGCTTCCATTTAGATTGCGGCATGTGTGACACTCTCCTCACTGCCTCTGAAAGAACAGGGTCATGTTGTGCAACTTGCGGATCGACAAAGATGGATCTCTTTGTTGCAATGGCCATCCCATAGCTAAAGCACACGCCCTTGCCCCGCTTCAAGGCAAAATCCAATGTCACAACATGCCCTCCCTTCAGCGCGGTGTTCCACAAAACCACATCTGGAGGGCTTCCTGGATCTTCAACGACACAAACATCAGCACGCCATGGGTCAGCCACCAAAGTCAAAGTCTGAGGAAAATTTGGCAAATTTTGCCACTCCATTCTCTCCAAGAAGAACTTGTGGAACGCAAAGTCCACCGCCGGTGGGAGAGGGCTCATGAGCTGAAGCATTCGGGCTTCATCGGCCTTACGCTTCTGCAAATTTTTTTGTTGGTTTGAAACGAAGTGTGCCACTTGATCACGCAATCCTGGGGGTACTTCATTTGCCAGAAGCACCCGTTCCAAGTATGCCTCCATTTGGTTCTTCATCTGCTTGGATCGCTGAAAACCAAACTCGGCATCAATCTTTGCCTGATCCTCCTCTGTGCGATCCACTTGTTCCTGCCATTCACTTGCAGCTTTCACCTGAGATCATCTGAAGTGGGCTAGTGACAAAAAGCATTTGTTCAGTGCTATGATTTAGAGGTACAGTACTTGTTCAGAACCAAAACTAACTAAAGATCGGCTGCAGATCAGTCTGAGTGACTGTATCCCTTGATACCAGAGCCGCGTTCTCACCCACATGCTGACGGCGCTTTCTGACCCACTGCGCCTCACTTTCAGGTTGCCTTTTCCTTGGAATCCCTGCATCCAATCGGTTGCAGCAAGAGTTTCTCGGGGGTCCATGGACTTTGCGCCAACAGTCTTGCGCAACCTTGCAAACTTCTTTCAAATCATTTTCGGAGCAATCGATGACCACCTTGGCTTCTGCCAAGTAGGTTGCGGGATCCATGTGGTCTCTGGCAGGAGTGATTTGATTCTGCAGCTTGCTGAAATTCTGCTCAACACCACTAGTCGAGCAACCATGGAAGGCAAGATATCGCATGATGACCAATCGAAGCGTGTCACTCGGATGAGCCTCAGTCATACATACTCCTTTGACCGGCCTTCCCCACCACCAGAAAAACATCTTCGACCGACCTTCCCCACAACCAGAAAAAATGCTGCGTGATCACCAAGAAGCCTTTGAGACACTGGATCTACAGGATGTCTTCTGGATAGCTGAAGACCATGCAGTTTGATTGTCCAGTTTGCGGGCTCTGGCTTCATTGATGGCAATGGGCAAATGGTCCCAGTACTGGCTGACAAACGCATCAATATTCAACCCAAAGACTTGACAAAGCCTAGAGCCATGTTTTCTCACAGTGTCAGCATCAAACTCCACAGCATGTCCCTGCACCCTTTGCTGCACGTCAAACAACTTGAACGCCCCAAGTAGCTCGAAGTATGGAAACTCCGTGTTCACCACTTCCACCGCCAGTGAAACATATGCCCTCATGCTTGCCAGGCATTGAGTCAGCATCACTTGATTTACCTTCCCAGGCCCTCCAAGACTTTTTGCTTCGCCCTTCAAAAGAAATCCTCGGGCCTGATGCAGCTGCACCAGGATGTGTTGGGTGTAGCCTTCTGCACGGAGGACCGCCCCTTGGTTGAAGAGATAATGCAACTCACTCAGAAACTGCTCAGCCTGCAAATGCAACACGGCCGGATCATGGTCTTCGCTATCAAAGCTTCGAACAAGGCCCAGGGCAGCATCTGCGCAATCTGCACACATTCCGAGCAGAATAAGCCTCTCTTCATTCACCCATGTAAGGAATGCATCCGCGCATTTGCCATCTTCTTCCCCTCTCCTGTGAATGGTTGCCCAAATAGCTGTTTGGAACAATGCTTCGAGAAACAGAATTCCACGTCCCAAGGGCTTTGACACTGAGTCAAAGCGTTGTTTCTTGAAGGACAAGTTGCGAATCCTCTTGGCAGACACTGGGCTTGATTCAATGGTTTGGCAAAACTCATGAAACTTCACAGAGAGGACGCCCGATTTTTGGATCATGCGGACCACACTGGAACTGTCTCCCACAAACATCGACCATGCTTCAGAGAGCTCTGGAATCACATTCCATGGCCTGGAGAGGACCCTGCGAGATGCATGTGCTTTGTCCTTGAGGATAATTTTGACGTCTTTGAGCAACATGGCTCGAATTTCTCTGGCACTGGTTTGCTCATCACTGGCAGCATCCGCATCTAGCACCTCAATGTGCTTCAAAACACTTTTGTAGAGGTCCTCGTCTTGCTGGCAGAATTCCCTGAGCATCTGTTGCAGTGCAGCTGCAAGCACGGTTGATGTAGTTCCTGAGCAATTTCAACACCAAAACAAAACATAAGAAACATAAGGCTAGGTGAGGGTCTCAAAAGTGATAAGCTACATGGATTCTGGTACTTTTTCAGCACCAACAGGGTTCATGGTACTTGTGCAGCACCAACAAGTACTTAAAACTGAGGGACTACATGGATGAGGGTGGGGCTACATGCATGCTGGTACTTTTTCAGCACCAACAGGGTTGAACTGGATGTATCCTGGATGAATGGTTCATGGTACTTGCGCAGCACCAATAACTACCTAAAACTGAGGGGCTACCCCATGTTAAAACAAAAAAAAAGGTCATTGAGAGTCTCATGTTGATGCCGAGTCTCTCTCCAAATCCTTGATGCCCAAAATCCCTCGTCGGATTTGCAGCTTCTGATTTGCAGCACGAAAGCGAACCAAGAGCTTGAGTTGCCTGACATCTGTATGCAGTGTGATTGTCTCAGCAGTGGCTATGAAACGTCTGTCCAACTCAAACACTGCATCACCCAAACACTGCACCATATGAGTGATCTTCTTGCGGCCACCAACACCAGCTTCTCCATGTCTGAGGGCTGAAGGGCCTTTCATTCGACCCCTGGCCACCTGCTCAAACGCACTCATGCTTGGAGCATCTTCGTCCGCAGTGACCTCAATCAGCCCCAGCTGCGCCAAAGCTTGCTGGTGCTGCTTGCACTCCGAGTGCCGCTTCATGTTGCTGAAGTTGCCTGTGATCACATCATAGTTGCCGTACTCGTTGTCTTGCTTTGTCATCTTGCAAATGACACAACCAACTCGACCTTCATCAGAGACCGAAAGCCAACTCATATTTAGCACAGGGATTTGGGTTTGCTTTTCCCACTTCCATCGATTCCTCTCCCACAACCTCCAAAGATCGACCTGCTCTGTAGTTGGCTCCCATTGCTGCTCTGTAGTTGGCTCCCATGTCTTTGTCGATGAAAAGGCCTTGGGTGTTGTTGTGGACGAAGAGAGCCTTGGTGGCTTTGACATTGCTGTGGAGGATCCATCCAGCCTTGTTGCAAACCCAGGAATCATGGCAGCTGCTTCCCAAGCCCAAACTATAAGGTCAATCTGACTCCGACTGAAAAACGGTTCAATGGCTGGATCTCCTCTTGCAGAATCCATAATCAAATATGTTCTGTAAGACTGATATGATGGATTGATATTTGGCCTGTTCCAGACCCAAGATCTATCTGACTCTGACTGAAACGGTTCAATGGCTGGATCTCCTCTCATAGAATCCATAATCAAATATGTTCTGTAAGACTGATATGACGGATGGAGATTTGACCACTGGTCAGCCCAAAATGGCTGCAGTCCACACATGCACTGATGAAATCGTCATACTGCAAGCACGTCTAAAGAACTGAAGAAGTCTTGTCGTACTGCCGAGATTGTTACAGATCTGAAGAAGTCTTTCCGTGCTCCTCGCTGCAACCTGGCTATGTGAATACTATAACGGCCAGAAAGACAAACCCAGACAGCAACACACACAGAGCAAATCACAGTACTTCTTCAGCACTGTTTGCATAATGGTACTTATTCAGCACCACAGCACCACATCACAAAAGCTATCCTCCCTTGTCTGAAAGACAAGAAAGACTCGGCGGGGAGGCACTGCACGGCAGTCATCGACCTTGGTAAGCAAAACCACAGCAAAAGCAAGTCAAGGAACTGCAGGAAATGATGCACACACGTTGTATTACAGCGGTACTTGCCCAGCACCAGCCCACAGAAGAACAATCTGGCACTTTCGCAAGCTTGATGCGCTGCCATCTTTTTTGCCCGTCGCCATTCACTCATTGTCATGCCGCTCCTTCTGCTTGGCCTTCGACTTGGCCACGGTACCCGGTGGGCCTCTCAACAGAAACAACATAAAAATCTTTCGAACATATTGAAACAGCCCGGCCTTGTCTTGTAGTAGGTGGCGTAGTAGGTGGCTCTTCTAGGATTTGTTTCACTTCTTCTGGGAAAGGTGCGTCCCAGCTGGAAAATGATGCAAACTAGGGGGGTCACCACAGCATGTCATCAACTGGACCACCACAGCACCATAACTTCCCCCAACATCAACCACCTTGCCTGGCAATGACACGGATCGAGAGCGGCCTATCAACATGAAACATTAAATGATATGTTGCATCATTCCTGTTCTGGACATTTCACTGCAAGAGCCTCGTTTTTTCTTTTTCTTCTTTTCTCCATCTTCTCTTTCTTCAACTTCCTTTCCTTTGTCGGTGGCGTGACCTGCCATGCAGAGCCACTATGCAAGTCACCTACACTGCTGAAAGGTCAAAACAAAATTTGTGGCAAACAGCGTCCCAACATCAACCACCTTGCCTGGCAATGACGTGGACGGAGAGCGGCCTATCAACAAGAAACATTATATGTTGCATCATTCCCCTTCTAGACGTTTCACTGCAAGAGTGTCCTCTTCTTTTTTTCTTTTTTTTTCTTTTTCCATCTTCTCTTTCTTCCTTTACTTTGTCGGTGGTGTCACCTGCCATGCAGAGCCACTGTGCAAGTCACTGTGCAGACCTGCACTGTTGAAAGCTCAAAACAAAATTTGTGGCAAACAGCTTCTTGCCACCTTGCAGCGTCTTGTTTTCATCTCTGAGCTGACGCTCATAGAGCAGCGTCGCTTGCAATTCGGACAGTTGATTGGACAGGTCGTCCCTCTCTTTCAGCAGCTTCTCCTTCTCTGCTTTTGAGTGCTGCTCGAAATTGTTCATTCGGATCTGCAATGTCGTGTGGAACTCCCGCTTGTACTCATTCTTGGTTGATTCCACGAGATCTTGCGCAGCTTTGAGCTCACCTGAATCAGAACTAAAGCAACCTGCTGTATGACACAGAACAAAACGCAAGGTTAAGCCTTGCTGGTACTTACGCAGCACCATGAATAATACTTATTGCATGGTACTTATGCAGCACCATGAATGATACTTCTTGCATGGTATTTAAGCAGCACCATGGATGATACTTATTGCATGGTACTTATGCAGCACCATGAATGATACTTATTGCATGGTACTTATGCAGCACCATGAATGATACTTATTGCATGGTACTTATGCAGCACCATGAATGATACTTATTGCATGGTATGATACTTATTGCATGGTACTTACACAGTACCATGAATGAACGAACACCCAAGATACCGGCCTCGAAGTCGATTGTTGTCCCGCTCGAGCTTTTTCACCTTGAGCTCAGCATTATGGGCCCGGCTCTGCATTTCGGTCAGGTTGTCGAAGGACCGCTGTAACGCCTTTGCGTTTGCAGTTGTCTTGGCACTGGGCTGTGACACTGCCTTTGGCATTGTCTCTGGCGCTTTGGGTGGTGGCCCCTGTGCCACCTGCTGTGGCGCCTTTGGCCTTTGGGCTGGCCCCTGTGCCACCTGCTGTGGCGCCTTTGGCCTTTGGCTTTGGGCTGACCCCTGTGCCACCTGCTGTGGCACCTTTGGCCTTTGGGCTGGCCCCTGTGCCACCTGCTGTGGCGCCTTTGGCCTTTGGGCTGGCCCCTGTGCCACCTGCTGTGGCGCCTTTGGCCCCTCAGCCCCTGGCCCCTGTGCCACCTGCTGGGGCATGGGCTGCTGGTGGTGCCCTGGCATCATCACCTGCTGGGGCATCACTGGCATCTGCGGTGGCATCTGCTGCGGCACCAAGTGTGGCACCTGTGGTGGCACCTGTGGTGGCACCTGTGGTGGCATAGTCTGCGGCGC